AAAAAAAAAAAATTGTTATGACTCTACCAACATGGGGCTGTGTTACTCATGAATGCCCACACCTTTCTATATGGTGGACCAATTCCTTTCTAGTGGCTGGTGTTGTACATCTATTCAATGTTAATAACGTGCATATGTCTTCTGCCTTCAGGAATAACTGTTTGTTTTGCCTTGCATCTTCCCCCCTTTCTCTAACTCCTTTTGTTAGGTGCTGCATAAATAGTAAATAAAGCAGCTAGCTGTGCGTAAAGGACTTTTTGTGAGTAGCCACGTGTGCAGCTTGCATCCTTTTTTGTGGATGGGATTCCATTTGCTTCACTTCCAAAACTTAATAGGAGGCAAGACATAGATGACAAAGGCAACTAAAATATATGATACGGGTTGTTTCATTTGGAGTTTTTGCATATTCTGTACATAGTAGCTGGTAAATTCCTGTCCCGATAGAGAACATCATCACTCCAGCACACTTTCTAATGGTATTGGTGTGGTGGTGCATTTCTTCCCTCTCTCTGGGCTGATCTATGAACTCGAGAAGTCTTGCTAGGCCTTAGCATAAGTGTAATGAGTTGGGCGGTTAAGTGTCCCTTGACCATACCGGGAACTCTTGCAAGGCTAAGACAGGGAGCTGTACTGACTGTACCAAGGTCTCCTGTTGCCTGGTGGAGGCTGGGGATGGGAGTAGGGATAATTATTCATTTCCTGACAACCTTAGGACATACCTCGGGTCTCTCCTGACAGCCTTGGAGCATCCCGTATCTGAATCTTAAGTCATTCTTTGACAGCCTTGGAGCCTGCCTTATCTGAATCGTAACTCATGTGAAACAGTACCAGTGCTACTGGAATCCCAGAAATTTGCTATTTGCTAAAGCCAGTCATCTCCCAAACCTATAAACAGCGGTACTAAGTGAGACCCTTTGAGCTCTCGTGGACCGCAGCAGGCTGTTCAGTTTGCAAAAATTGGAGATCTGTCGCCGAAAGCCAACAAGACTTGGGCTGATATTCTTTGTTCCTTGAGGCTCAACCCTTCATCTATTGAGAAAGATGCTGAAGCGTTTGATGTGAATATTTTCACTGAACTCAAGGGGAATTTTTAACAGGTATATCTCTTCTACTTGCTTATGTATATCTCTTAGAGTCTTTGTTCATGTATGTGTACTAACCGGAATATTCTATACCAAGTATATTATAAATATTGCTTTTCAAATCTGTACGTGAGTTACTGTTGTGAACTTTATTCAACTTTGAATGAATCTCAGGCTGCTTTTCTACTCATAATCCCTTTAGATATAAATTGTTGACCAAGTCTGGTGCTAGGAGTTGATCCAGCTGCACCTAGACTCCAATAGGAGTTTAGAAAGTAGAGGGGGTCGTCTCTGAACCTTGTGACTCAACGGGAGGGTCTCCCTTACCCTTTTTACATTCCCAATCTCTGTACAAATCACAAGAAATCAGTTCTAACTCGATTTTCCTTTGTAGGTTTCTCTTTTACCCTATTGCATCTTCAGTCTCTGTATAAATAATTTTAGCTTGATTCTAACTTTATTTTCCTATGTATGTTTCATCCATGTATTAAGTAATAGAGTGAACCTTGCCATCGAACTCTGTGAAATTGCGCTTTTATATAAATTCCTGTTAAATCATTTTTGCTAATACCCTTGATGGTGATTCTTTAAGCAGTCCAAACCACTCCATTTCAGGACAATTGGGAAGTATTTTTAAAAAGCAGTCAGTAAATTTTTAGGACATTCAAACACCTGTGTGACTGTTAACTGTTTCCTGTTGTCCTGCCTCTCAGTATGTTCAAAACATTAAGGAAAAGCTAAGATTCCCTAAGGCTACCTCTCAGCTGGCTAGCTGAGCAAAACCCATGTTTGTGTAAAGCAGAATATGTAAAGTGGTGTGAAAGTGTCACTGTAAGTCAGACTAGTTCTGCTTTCTGTCTCTTAGAGCTGGAAGCTGGTGGGAATGCTTTGCAAGCTCTGGAAATACTGGTATAGTTATGTTGGACTCTGTAAAGATGGACCAGACCATGTTGGTAGAGTTGTGACTGTGGTTGAAAGCTGTCCCATTATGTCACATCCAAGCCGTTCAGGTAAAAAGGGTTGTGTGTGCCTTGAGGTTTGGTGGTGTTTATCAGCATCATATTGTGAAGTGGGAACAGGACTTTCATGTCCTGTGGTACTGTGAGCAGTTAGGGAAAGTCACTACTGAAAAACTGCTTGTGTCAAGTTTGGAGCACTAAATTTCTCTCCCTTTCATGCCACGACCCTACATAAATCGCAGAACTGCCACATTTTAAGACATCAGATAAACTGTACAGAGCACCCTAGAAGATCAGCCTTCAAACAAAAATACAGTTTCAGCTTCAACTATACAATGATGTCTGATGTTGTTAGGTTTCCCAACCGAGTATGTACGCAGGCTGGCCAACCGTAATGCTTTGGGTGATGACAAACCACTTTCACAACAAGTGAGCACAATTAACTGAACGTCTTGCATCACATCTGAAGCACAGGGGTAAATGGAGTGCATGTTCCCATGGACTGAGCCCCCGTCAGGTCTACTAGTGTTGGCAACTATGAATATGTGAAAAGTGATTGCTAAAAGCTGCTGAAACGATAGCTTCTTTATGTTTAAAAAAAAAAAAGGTCTCACTGGCTGCGTGCAGCATCCACTCTGCTTTTGGTGCAGCTGTTTTGCTATAATAACCAATTGGTTCAGCAAATCCTTTTACCATGTGCTTATATTCTTGTCAGCATGTTCAGGTTTATTTAGCACATATTAATCGCACCCAGGTTTAGTGCATTGTTGACCTTTAAAGCTCTGCTGAATCATGGGCTGCGTCTGCATCACTGTGCCTGTCTTGCTGGATGTAACTCCATGCACTAGAGAAAGCTTGGAGGAAGTGGTACTTAAGGGATGACATCAGATGCTTCAAACAGGAGGAAAGCAAATGCTACTGAACAAAGACGTGTTTGATCCAGGACTGGAAAAAGGTTTTCAAAGCCTTTCTAGACTTCTGCCAAACCTCTGGCTCAGGTACTCTTAATATAGATGAAATCTGGAAAGCACTCAGTGCCTCAGGTTGAATAGTGTCACAGATGGTGTTTTATATTTGTGGTGTTTTCCAGAAATAATTTTCTAAAGAATAATGCTAGTATTGAATTGTTAATTTTGGAGTAATAACTGTTTAAGCTGGGTTGCTCACCCATTGTGTTTGGAACTCCCCTTAGCCTGGTATTTAAATATAAATAATTTTTATTTCTAATTTTTATTCTAAGCTTCAGCAAAATTGTAGAAGTAACTGTGTCAAGCCTGAGTGTCCCCTGTTGGTCTCTTTGTGGTGTAGGAAGGGGGAACCCTTTTGATAATCTCAGTAATCAGATACCAGTAATTCTCTGAAGCCCAATTCAGCAAGCCTGCCTCATATTAACTTCCATATCCTGAAAACAGCTAAGTTATTTGAGAGCCACCTACACAGCTCTCAATTACATTTGTTTCTGATGATGTGTCTCAGTGGCTTAACCATAGTACCATACTGTGTATTGGAATTAGTAAAACAAGAGTGTTTCAAACCTAATTCTACATATAAAAGAAGGGTGAGTCTCGTTCATCCATATGCTTTTTTAATAGCAGCTTTTTGGGTTCCCAAAAAGGGGGACCAGGTGCTCTGGAGAGAGCTCCCACCCAGGCACCAGCCCTACCAAACCAGTTCTGGTGATTGCCATAGTATGGTCAGCTCCAGGTACAGCTGCTGCAGGCTCTCATGAAACTGGTTATCAGACATGATGGGCTTTTTCTTCTTGTTAGCCCAGCCTTGGAAACCAAGGGCTCAGGGGCTGTGTGAGTGGGGAATTGTTCCCCCGCACCACCAATGGTGAGGGCTAAAACTTAACTGAGGAAGAACTTCCCCTGCACACTCTTCCTGTTCTCCCTTCCTAAATAAACGCTGTATTTCAGGAAGATAGCAGGAGCTGGCAGTGCCATTCTCAGATTACCCAGTGGAGTTCAAGTGTGTGGATCTGAAGTTAGCATCAAGTGCAACAGCAGTGTGGATGCTCAAAGTATAAACTACTTTACCTAAAAGAGGGATTCATGTGATAAAGATCTTTCTTTTTGATTCCACCATCTGATTCAGACACATGAGTCTCTCTCTGTTGTGTAGTGTTTCATGAAGTGAGCTAATAATTTCTCTTTGAGCGTTGAGGTCAATCCACAGTACTTATGTTGTAGCATCAAGGGCTAATTCAGATTAGCAAATAAAGTGGCCAAATGTTCATGAGACACTGGGGGGGGGGGGGGAAATGGCAGTCTTTAAAAGCTCTTTAGTCTTACTTAGCCCCTGAGTGAGCAGAAATATAATGCATTTGCACATCATTTGAGCATGACACTTTCATATTTCACAGTTGCAGAAATCATTATAAACAACCAATTGTCGTACAACAGGGAACTATTTACATGTAGTTTTGTTGCAGTCAAGCCCAAGATTTGCATTTCAGGGATGGTTTTTTTTTCCCTCCTCCCTTGAAGGTTAGTTATATCAGGCTAGAACTAGTGGATGAATGGCATGCCTCTGAATTCCACTTTTTGACTGGATGTCCGTATTGCTAAGCTGAAAGGTAACTGGGAAGAAAGTCTCTGCAGGTGGGTGTTAAGCAGTTATATAATGCCAACCATTAGTGCATTTTATGTATAAAAGAAAGTATATGTTTTAATTGTGGAAAGCAGGTAATGTTTATGAAAAGCCTTCCTTCAAAAGATCAAGTAAATTTTTACCTCTGGCTCTTGACTGTGTGTTTGCCTTGTTACTTCTCTGTGGCTTTGGCAGTCTCGTGTGATTTTTTTTTTTTGCCTTTTTCCATCTAATAGGTCTTGTCTGAAATGTATGTGTGTCTCTTTTTCATCTGCTGCTGCTTTCCTAGGAAGCAGTGAAGTTTCTCAAAGGGACTTTTTACAGACGATTTAAAATTTGTTTTTTACTCTTTCATGCAATGTTGCAGAGGAGGATGATGCTGAGGAGGTGCCAGAATTTCAGGTGTCTGGGAAAATTGGAGCAAAGAAGCAGAGGAAATTAGAAGAGAAACAAGCCAGAAAAGCACAGAGAGAGGTAAGCATTTCCTGCCACGTATAGAGCCCAGAGCAGAGCCTGAATAGCAGTACTCAGCAAAGAACTGGTGATGACAGACACCCCAGAAAGGCAAAGGCAGTGTCATCACTACAACGGTTGTATTTTTGTTTTAAAAACGTGAATCCAGCTTTTTATGTCATATCCCAAGAGGGCCATGGAAAATGGTGTCTTGTTTTCTTTCCATTAGGTTCTCTGGCATTCTTGTGGGGAGGAGAGAGGAGTTAAACTCTTGAATGCTCTTTATTGGATGTTTCTACTGGCTTGCAGCTTAATCTCAGTACTGTCTCCCCTTAAAAATACACTCAAGCCCACATAGCATTGTTGTAACACTGGGTCTGTGACCAAAACCATGGGCTGTTCAGAGAAGTGTTTCATGTGCTCTTGTAGTGCAAAAACTTTGTGTGGGTTTATCTATGTTTAGGCATGTTTATTGTTTTTATGGATTGGGAGAGATGAAAAGCAGACCCTGTAATCCACTGAAGTCTGTCATGCAGACAGCTTTTGGTTGAAGTTTGGCCCTTAAAGAGAGACCAAGTATGCAGAGCGAACACACTGTAGCTTTTCAGTTGTTCTTTCTTAAATCTGTGTGTAAACGTACTTGCTTAAATACTGTTACATTTTTTCAGTTTTGCCCAGCATTTTGCTGTTAATTCCAGCGAAGCAACAGGCTTTTTGAAACTTACTTTCCAAAGTGTGCTCATGGATGGCAGCAGGTTATGCATTAATTCCTTTTAGTTGTTCTCGGGGTTTTTTTTTGTGAGCTCTGTATTGTTCTGTAACTTGAAAGGCAGGGTTGCAAGAAGTAGGTATAACTCAAACAACCTTTGCATAACAGGGGCTGGAGTGCAGGGTGGACTTGACACACCTTACAAAAAGACAGGGTTTATGAAACTACTAGCGTATGTCATATGTAGATGGTCTAAACAAAGCTAGTAAAATCACATCTTGAGAATTTTAGTGTCATCTGAAGTTTAAATCCAGTTTCTGCTTTACACTGTAGTGGTATGCCCTGTTAATAGGGCGCTTGGTAGTAAACTTTATTATTATGTTATATATAAACTTCCATTACGATCCTTTTGTCACTCTATGCTTTAACCATTTTGTCATTACTTTCCATATTCATTCTATTTAATTAGCCACTTTTTTGTGGAAAATTTGAGCAAAGTCGAATGAAGTTAGATAAGCATCAGTTGGTGGAGTGAGGAATCTTTTGTTTCATTTTAAAACATGCTGATTTTTATTTTCCCATGTAGACAGATAAATTCCTCGGTTAGGTCTTTCTCTCTGAAACATGCAAAGCCACAAATCCTCTGTTTGAATGTTTTCAAATTTAAGTGTATGAAGAGACTGAAGAACAACTTTAAAAATCTCTAAACAATACACTTAAATGCCCTTTTTATTTTTTCCCCATTTTGCAACAATCTCTTTGCTAGTTTTGGTTTAAAAACAAATAATAAAGTTATTTGAAGAGACCAGTACAGCTTTTTCTTTAAGAGATTCTGCCCAGGCTAATGATGAATCTGAATGTACTTGGGTTTACAGAGTTTATGTTCCCCTCTCATTTTTTTTTCCTCTCCTTAGAGTCTATTCTAACTAAATTTTAAGTGAGGAGAAATGGAATGCCATGACACAATATTACTTAATATCACCATAGTAATAAGCTCCTAGGCATTTACCAAGCTTAAACCCTTACTGAGATACAGATAATGCAAGTGAGAGAGGGTAATTTCTAAACTTATCATAACGTTAAGTATGCTGAGGACTGGGGGGAGTTAAATGATAATGACTTTTTTTTTCTTATTCTCTTTACTGTTTCTTTCTGAACATGCATCTAGGAAGACACTAAGAAGCCGCTCCATGGGCTTACAACACGAAATTAAAAAAATTATGTTCAGGAAGAGTTAGGCTTGACTTGCATAATTATTTTTTTTAATTTATTTTTTTAGGCTGAAGAAGCAGAGCGAGAAGAACGGAAAAAACTTGAGTCAAAAAGAGAGGAGGAAAGGCGGAAAGAAGAGGAGAGAATACGTCTTGAGGAAGAACGACAGGTGGGATTGGTTGTATTTATAGATGGAAATTCTGAACCAAGTTTGTCTTTGAGATTGCTTCTATGTAAGTTCTGTGATCAGCAGAACTCCCTTTGGCTTTCATTACTATTGCATACCTTTTTAATATGTTTTTTGTTGCTCCATTTTGTTTGAATTACAGTAATACTCAGTTATTTCAACTGTAGATCCCAGTTTTTTTCCCACAAGTGCTTGGCAGAAGTGAAAACTACTCCAAATGTCAATACACACATGTAGCAGCAAGCACCCACCCACGGTTGAGTCTAGGGCAAAACGAAACCCAATCTCTTGATAGTGGATCTGCTACTGCTGTATGCCATAGTGGCAGACTGGTCAATTTGTTATGTTGACAAACACAGCTGATAAAGTTGGCCATTAGTTCATCTGGAAGCTGTTTAAGTGCAGGTATATGAAAGAAGGAGCTGTACCTAGTTGCAAGAGAAGTTTTGGAGGTTGCTTGCTTGATGTCTGACAGGAGAAGTTTGGTTATCGCAGAAACATAGAATAATGTAGGTTGGAAGGGACCTCCAGGAGACCATCTGGTCTATCCTTCTGCTCAAACCACATCCAGTTAGAGCAGGTTGCTCAGAACCTCAACCAGCCCAGCTTTGAGTGCCTCTTAATGAAGGAGATTTTGCAATCTCACCCAGCCCCTGTTCCGCTATGCTCATTAGCACTGCCTGCCTGACAGCTGTAACCAGCAGGGCAGAAAGTGAAAGACATCAGCAACTGATTTTGCAACTGTTGTGTAAAATTATATGATTTTATTCTAATTACAAATTTACATGTGCTTTGCAATTAAAGATTTCTGAACTATGCATACAAAGGGGTGTGTTAGCAGGAGTGACCCAGAAAAACAGGTAGTGTGCAAGTGAAATGCTTTTGTTGAATACTTTCATCAGTGAGGGAGGCAAACTTGCTTCAAAGCTGCTTTCTGGGCATCCGTGCTAATGGCTAAGAGCTAGGAACAAGCTTCATGCTCTCTGGTGCTTGAGCAAGTTGTGTGGTAGCTTTGCAACGTGCTTCTGGAGGCAAGGACTGAGGTGTTCTGCATGATCCTGTGCTGAGTAATTGCTGTCCCAGGGGAGCATAGCCGCCAGCTTTCAGTGTGAACTTTCTGGGATACTTAAATATGTGTGGAGATTTGTGTCTGTGGTTTGTAGTGAGCAGATTTATTTTAATTTGTTCTAAGCGCAGGTTGTGTTAAGTGGAGTGTGTTGCTGATATTTTAAAAGAGGAAAAGACAATTTTTCCTTTCCTCTGTTGGGGGCATGAAGGCAGGATAAAGCAATCTAATTTTTTTTTTTTTTCCATACATTACATACACAGATTGTAACCATGAGATCTTTTGTAGAATGTACATTTACCTCTGGGGTTATCCCCTGCCAGAATCCTTTGTCTTCTGGACACTCCGTTGTTTCCTTTTCATCAATAGAATTTTCCTGAATTTCAGAAATTGAAATGGATGAGGAGAATGTCAGTACTACGAAATCAGGGTATGTAGCATGGTCCGAGACTTTGACTTGTAAAGCAACTTGAACAAGCTTCCCGGGGACCAGTTATTCCACAGCTGCCCTTCTGAGAAAGATGTGCGAATTTAGAAGTACCTAGTAGTGGTCAAAGCATGAATCCTGTGGTCGGATAGCTGATCTCAGCTAGTCCGAGCCAGTCCTGTGCTTAGCCAAGGTGTTTCATTAACAGCAGAGCTGTCAGACCTGGCTTCCTCTGGATCCGTTTCTACTGCTTTTCGCCTGCCCACACACTTCAGTAGCTCCAGCTTCTGCCTTGAGGTCCCTGTGACCACTCTGCTTTTCTCCTAAGTATTGCCAGTTTCTCCCTCTCATACTTCCAGCTCGGAAAGAGGCAAGATGAGCTCTGACTGCCTCTAAAGCACATGTCTGTTGCCCATCTTGCTTGCCATGGGGCTTGGTATAACAGATAACTCAGATGGCAAATTTCCCTCCAGTGGTCTATTTTTTTGAAGTGTTTTGCCTCCACCTAGTTCCCTGATTTTATTTTTTTTAATTATTATTTTTTTCCTAAGGTTTTGGGACTTTAATATCCTTGAAACCTTGAAGAGTTGGTTGAAATGAACCAAATAACTCCAGTACTCTGAGGGGAATTAGGAATGCACACTGGCTGGATACTAGCATTGTTTAAATGTTGCTACCTTTAGAGAAGGCTAATGAAGAGAATTTCAATTCCTTCCAGAGTGCTAGTCAGCACGGCAGGTGAACTGCTAAGCAAATTCCAGTTGAGCTTGGCCAACTTGCTCAAAAGAAGCTGTAGCACAGGACAAAGCTGTTATCCTGTTAATTGAGTACCAGTTTGACCTGGGATTCAGCAGTGCAGCTGGCTAATCAGGATTAGTCAGGCATGGTTGAAAAGTTGAGCAGCAAATAAGGGTGAAATTCTAACTAGAGGTCTCTTCACACAGAAAGTGCTTATTAACATGTTTATTTTTTTTTTAAACCACTTCTGTTCAATTTAGGGCTGAGTAATTTATTTTGGTTGAATGAGGAAAATCTTATTTGTTTCTATTTTAATTTTCAGTATTCCTAGTAAAGATTGCACTAAAACACTTCCACCTCCATTTTGCAAGGCTCAGTGAAAAAGAGGAATATAAACTAAGGCTTTGGGGTTGTGTTTTTTTATTTTTTAAGTTTTGTGCTCAACAGTCTAAAGGGGTACTTACTAGAATTTCAAAAATCGCTCAGATGCCTGAATCTAGCTTGCCATTCACTTTAGACAATAACTTCCACGGCCACTTAAATTTTGTAACTTTAACCTTTTTTTTGTTTGGTTCTTTTGTTTGTTTTTCCCAGTAGTCTTTATCAGGGCAGCAAGCCAACCCACCAGGCTACATCATGAACTACATTATTCTGCTACTCAGGGGAAAGTGTTTTCTATATTTTATTTTTTACTTGGCTTTTAAGACAGGTTGATAATCCAGTAACTGCTGAACATTTTGAACCTGGATCAAAGTAAATGTGTCTGACAATATTTAATGTTCATCCTCAAGTGTGTTTTAGTAATTTTAAGTCTCTGTCTTCATCTGAGTCTTTAACAGGAAACAGAACAATTCAAGACTTGTAGATGTTTAGGCTGTGTCACTTGAATTGCTGCTTCAGTCAGCAGAGAAAGCAGTATTACAGGGAGCATGGTAATAACAAGACTTCAGTGTTTTAGTCTTTACTGGATGTAGGAGGGGAAACAAATTGAATTAATAGATTCTTGATTACTGTGCATGTAACCATAGCCTGTCTTTAATGATCATATCATCTTATCTTGCAAATCTTGTTACAGACTGATTGTATGATATAAAAGATACTGCCTTTCTCTTCTAGGCCCCTATAAGCAATAAAGAGATCATTGGATTTATTGTGTTTTTTATAGAATACATAGGGTAAAATGTCATTTATACGTTCCTCCAGAGACAGGATTCTTCACTTCCACAAGTAACATTTTGTCACAAGTAAGCCCTTATGGACTACACAGGTGATAATAGTCTTCCCCCATGTAAGTTAGGAGATGGAAAGGCAAAATTATGAAAGGTAGCTCAAGTACAGATTGACAGTCATGAGATAAAAAACAGGGGGTAGCTGTTTATATGATTTTTGGAGGCAGTTTGATTACTGACATTTCTGTAGTTTATATAATCCCAAAAGGCACAAGAAATTTGGAGTTTATTGATAAAGTTTGTCTGAGAAATGTTATGGTTGTCAGATAGGTTCCTTTTTTTCCCTTCTTTTTCCAGTACATCAGAGTATTTCTGCAGGTATAGTGACAGTGGCAAGTCTGTTAGTTTTTATTTATTTCTTCTGCAGTACAAGAAAGGTATTAAGACCACTGATGAAGGCTTGCTGCCTCCAGGAAAAGTAGTGACATAACTGCGTGAGTTGTTTATTGTTTCACTTGCTGCATATTCAAAGATTTTAACTCATAAATTTGGTGCCTATGGTTTATTTAATTTAATTGAAAATAAATTTAATTACTGTATTTACAGGAGCGCTTAAGTTATGAGCAGTAGTCTCCAAACAAATGCAACCATCTTTGTTAGATAAATTTCAGTTGAACCTTTTTTTTTTTCAATTTCTCTCCCAAGAAGTGCTACCAAAATTGTGCTAACTTCTGTGAACACTGACATTGGCTTTGTGTTTCTTTTCAATGTTTCAGCTACAGGCTTAAACTAATAGCTGAATTCTAGTCAACAGCAATAGGTGATTCCTGCGCCATTAAATACCATCTAAAGGTTTGTCAGATGATGAGGGAAGACAAATTCAGGAGGATAGAAAATCAAGTTGCCGCGTGCAGATCTAGAAATTCCCCAGTGTTGATCTTTGATAAAGTCACTGGACTGTTAAGCCTTTCATACACACCCCCCTCAAGTAGTTTGAGATGTGGAGTGTAGTGGAAGTCATGAATTCTTGAGTCGGATGAAAACCCACTTTGTTTTATAAGCAAATGGATATCTCTCTTGAATTATTTTTGGGCAACTCTACACAGTGCTATACTACAAGTGGGAACTGTACCTTCAAGGGAGTTATGGGGCCTAAAATCTTGCATATTCTTGAGAAAAATACCCCCCTGCTTCTATTTAAATATATTTGTATGCACATATAAATAAAATGTGGTTGCCCCTTGGCTTCAGTGTTGCAAACCAGATAATATATTTTTAAATTCAAGTTTCCTTTCCAGTGTTCTGATGACCTGATTGGCTATGCATGTGAGGAAGCTCCTTTATAATTGGCATTTGCTTCAGCTCTGCTTTACCCTGGGGATTTCCCTTTCACTCTTGGAGTTTTTTAGTGGTGAGATGGTTTACCAACTGACACCTTATCAATGAGAGCGAACTTCCTCTGATGTTGCAAAACAGTGTCTTCATACAAAGCCTTGCACATTGCTCACATAAGAGGTTGGTTTTTTTCCTGCGCACAGGGATTTTTGTAGATTTTACTCCCTCAGCCTAGCTCCACCATGCT